TAGCTCAAGTCCACCTAAGGACTGTAGGTTAATAGTTCAAGTTCACCTAAGGACGGTAGGTTAATAGCTCAAGTTATTGTTTTTATTCGAATGAAACATGAAGCTGATTTATAAAATGTTTAAATTTATGAAATACGAACTCTTTCTTTATGTTTGAAGAGACCCTACCTTGCACCACCAGCCGGTACCAGGCCCCTTAGTACCTTAACTCAATGGTAACCATTTGTAAAAGCCGCTGCTATCAGGGGACCCTTCAGAGGGAGAGAAAACAAAACAACAACAATATGAATGTGTATATGTATTATAAGCTTCTCGGTACAATATTTAACCTAGTTGTTAAGAACAGGTATACATCCAATAGTTAGACGAACTTTGAGATATACCAGGTGTGAGGTTACTTTCCACGAGAGGTTATTTATCACGAAAACACAATTTTGTAATAATCAGAGGATGTTGATCGGAAAATTTTTGTTTAATCTGGTTACAACAATATATTGGTAACAATCACTTGCTGCTACACAAGGAATACCTACCCTACTTACAGCAATATGTGGGAAGCCTGAGGGCTGTGGGCTGGTAGTCTGTACATAGCCTACGCTGTCCTGATTGGAACTATAGAGCTCAATGGGTCCTGGGCTGTTGGTAGCAGCCCATCCACGGTTGGTGGCTGGAGAAGTGGGCGGAGCAAACCCTTGAGGGACGTAGTTGTTGATTACTGTTGAAAACAAAATCCATTTTGAGTTGATTTTAACGTTCGATTTTTAGAGCGATGTTTCTTGAGCAGTTTCTATACGATTTCTCTCCAGCAAATCTAGAAATCTAACGGGTATAACTCTGCTACTTTTATGGTCACGTGCCTGATATTATTTCATTAATATAAACTGACAAATGAATGTACTGGTTATAAGAAACTTTGAAGATTTTTTCTGTTTGTTAAGTTAACATGCAAAGATCATTTCAAAGCAGAACTACGAATATCAAATTTGTAATATGACAGTTAAACGTTTGGTAGAAAACTTACTTCTGTACAAAGTTTGTTTAGTACCTGATAGAGCCTGAGTTAGTAGTGGAGGCGAAGTTTGCTGACCGTTTAATTCCACTGCAAACAAAGATAGAACATTGGTTAGAGCACAGAGACCTTTTAAAGAAACTGAAGAAGTAGTGACAAACACTCTAAGTGTTAAAATACAAAACAAACACGTTAGACGACATGTAGTTAGAGGTTCTATTTTAAACACAAAACTAGACAGAGTAGGAGTAATGACAGGTTAAATTTAAAACAAAGAAAACTGGATGTTTTTAAAATAAGGAAATGGTTAGAGTAAGTACAAAAACTGGTTTTATTTAAAATAACTAACTGGTTATATAAAGTAAATATTAATTGTTCTTTAATCTGATTAAACAAGGTGTAACAACTAGTTGTATATTACAACTGGTTAGATAAAGTGTAACAACTAGTTGTATATTACCAACTGGTTAGATAAAGTG